GGTTAATATGTAAGTTCCATTTATAAGCCAAATTCCCCCTGCATTTCTCATTTATTTAACATTTCATTTCCTTTTACTTTTTCCCAACGAAAGACTCTGCAGGGAGGTAGAGAAGCTTCGTCGGCCGGCCACCAAACTCCGATAACCACCACGTTGACCGTCGTCGTTGATCGTCGGTCTAAGCCCAAACTTTATCATCCCAAGCATCTTGGTCTCCACATCAAGAATTCGACATTCGATCTTCAAGAAACCTCGTGGATAGTCGTAGATCTACAAAAACCATTCAGTTTTCTCAAAGCAAAACACTCCGAATAATCTCCATAGGGGCACATCAATGCTATTAGCAACCGCATCAATCAATGCCATTTCTAATCCAGCTAGAAGCAAATTCGCTTCCAGGAAACATTTCTGAAATCTGATGTAAAACCAAATTCAAAGTAACTGGAGGTCCTTAGCTAAGAGATTCACAAGCTTCTCTCACTTTCTCAAGAATAGTAGCTTGGTTCCAATTAACCCATGGAATCACTGGAATCTCACCCCATCCAACACATCTATTGTTGAACTCAGCTCGGACAACCACATTCTCAACCTGTTCAAGCGTCAAACACCCAATGGTCACCGGTTCTTGAAGCCCAATATCCAGTGGTCTGCCTTCAGCACTATGAACATCAACCCAAAAAATCTCAGTCGAGTTCTTAAACCCCAACCTTGTTCATGGCCTTTAAATTATTTCGCTAACTGATGATTAGCTCATCAACTCACTGCTGCTAGTGCTGGAGCTGGCAATGAAACGACCAGCAAGGCTCTTCGATGATTAACGACAGGTAGAGAGAAAATAAAAAAACCTTGTTGGACAACTGAAACCGAATGAAGCCATCCGATAAGATGATTGAACTTGGTCTCCTTTGTAAAATTTCAGCAAGCAATCATTAAACAAAGTAACCAATCAATGTCATTCTTTAATTTTTTTTTCCAATTATGGAATGTCATTATCTTTATTTTATTCCTATTTCACTTAATATTTTATTCACATTCTACCTAATTCTAAACAACACACGTGAATGTTATAATTAACTAAAGATTCGGGTGTTACATATTGTTTATTATATAATATTATCAAAGAATAGTATGTAATAAAATGAATAAAAAAATTTTAAAAATAAAAATATTCTTACTTCTTTAAAAAAGTATTTGTTAAAACTATCATTTAAAAAATATAAATTTATAAAAAAATTGAATTATTTATTATTATATATATTTACTAATTTTATATTTTTATTTTGGAGGAGTTTTATATCATCTAAACGGTTGAAATAATGATATATTATAAATAATCAATAATAATATATATTTCAATCAAAAAATATTTAAATATCTAATTAAAAATATATAAATTTGAGGATGGAATCTTCGAATTATGCCTTAAATAAATATCAACCCTTTACAGAAAAAAAAATACAACCGTTGGGAGTAGGGGGAAATGGTATTTTGAGTCGTGAATTTGAGATGGAGTTCAAATTACGTAAAGTAAAAATTATTTTGGGGGGGGGGGGGGGCGACAAGGTGGTCGTAGATTTAAATAGGGCTAAATTATGTTAAAAGAAAAGATCACCGACGAGTTAGAGGATTGATTTGATTTGGTATTGTAATTTGGTCCCCCTAACATGGTCCACATCCTGCCCAAATGCTGCTGTGGTCCCCATAGAGTTGGGACTTCGACATTTCTCACTTGTATTTTGAATTATTAGATTGGAAATGTATTTTCGTATTAACGATGCAAGAGTATAATTGTAAAATCAAATATTATCAATATATTTTTTTTAAAGGTAAACTACTCCAATGGTCACTAATATTTGAGTAAGTTTTTGTTTTCACCATTGATGTTTCAAAAGTCACAATTGGTCACTAATGTTTCGTTTGTTACAAATTGGTCACTCGTTGTTAACAGGCGTGACGAAAAACACACGTGGACTATTAACGGCTGTTAACAGGCTTACCTGGATGGTATAATTACACAAATAGTCTATGTTATTTTTATATTCTTTCAATTTGATCCTAGTTTTAATAAATTAAAATATATTTGTTTTTAATTCTTATAAATAATGATATATTTTTATACAAAATAATTAAATGTTTAAGTCCAATGCCTTTAAAAAAAGGAAATAAAAAATTTAAAATTAGTTATAAAAACAAAAAAATAAAAAGTTAAAACGATATTTTTCATGACAAAAATAATGATAAAACACCTTTGACTCATTGTCTGCCCAGAGCCCATGGATTTCAATATATATATATATATTAAAAATGTTTAAATTATAATCTTTCAAAGTTTTACGATATGACTTAAACTCACCGTTTAATTTTGAAAATTTTCGTTTTAGTTTTTACACTTCTATTTCTTACAGTCCTATCTAAAAATTATTAGAAAATTCAATCTAAAATTATAAAAAGATGAAACAAAATCTCAACAACTTCCGACAATTTTATTAATATTATTCTTAATTATCAATGATTTTTAACTACTATCGTAAATTGTTATATTTATCATGTTTTTAAAATAATTTTTGACATTATTTTTCTGATTTAATTTATATTTCATTTTTGAAGATGATCTCATATGTAATACCCCAAATTTGTCTAGTGACTAAAGTGTAAGTTTTGAAAGTTTAGTGGTTAAAGTATAAAGTTTGAAAAGTTTAGGACCAAAATTATAATTTTTAAAAGCTATATTTTATCCTGTAAATGAACAGTTTGGATTAAAGCAAATATTTTAGTGGGAATCAGATTTTGGTACGGGAATTGTGTTAAAAGCTATAAAGTAGTAAAATTCGGTATTGAAATCGAATATTTAGATCGAATTGTAATTTTACGAAAATTTGAAACATGTTATAAAATGGTTGGAAATATTATTTTAATATTCTAGATCAGAGAAATTTGGCTCAGAACTGTGCAATGTTTCAGATTTAACTGAAACAGTGGAGTTTAGAGACTAAAATGTAATTTTTGAAAATTGCATGGTGAATTTCGTAAGTTAAAGTCAAGTTAATTCATCTTTGAGCAAGGAATATTTTAATGAAAAATATGATAATGGCAATTGATAATTTTTAAGTTTCATTAATGGAAAAAATGAAATTTTCTATTAAATTAAATAAAAAATCAATTTAATTATATTTAAGACATGTGTTAAAGATAATTATTATTATTATATTAAAGAAAGCTGAACATCTTTCAGCAGCAAGTTCTCTCCACCGACACTTGAGGTTCTTCAAGGTAAGAAATTTTATTTTCAAATTTTGAAGTTATTTACTTGATTTTTGAGTTTAGCTATTAGATAGAGAATTAATCTACATGAAATTCTATTATTGGTACCAAAAATTTCATGGTGAAGATAATGTGTGATGAGATTTTATGATTTGGGGTTATGAAGAGTTTAGTGGTTTTAAAGAATTAGTTTGTAAGAATTGATGAAGAACCTAAGGATGCAAATTAAGGATTTAGATTTTTGAATCTAGCAGTGAATTTGAAACTTCATTAGAAATTCTATAAAAATTATTTTGAGGTTATTTTTATATATTTGTGTTCTTATGTCTATCTAGTTTTGTTTAAACAAATGGGATCAATTTTAAGGTATATACAAAAAGATATGAATTTTTAATCGAAGAAAGGTCAAAAAAAGGGGCATCAGATTCTGATTATGTCGGTCAACTTTGAAAATTGACCATAAATTGTACAAAATGAACTAGAAGGAGTTATTTATATGGATATATTTGTATTTGAGTTTAGTTTTCAACGAAAGAAACAAAATTAAATTTCATTGTGTATATCAATACAGAATACTGATTCTTTAAAGGCAGTTCGAGTTGTCTGAATATGAAAATTTTAGAATTTAAGTGGAAATAGATTAGAAACTGAAGAGTAATGTTTAAATGTTTGATTTGAATGTTGAGTATAATTTTGGATGCTTGTAATTGAAGTTAAATGGCAAGAGACTATTTTGAATAAATTGGAAATGTATTTATGTTAGTATAATACTAACATATGTATCGATATGAATTTATGATTTTGTACAGATCGTGATTGACTCTGTGTTCAAAGCAAATCGAGTATAAAAAGGACTAAGTTGGAGCATAGTGAGGAAAAATCTTTTGAAAATTTTAAAGTGTCAATGTGAGTACAATACATGCATGACATTGCACATAGATGATTTACATCATGTACATAGATGTTTTATACATCAGGAAGACTTGAGATAAGTCTACCTTGTTTTATCAGCATGAAATTTTTTACATGGATGCTATTTTGGGTATGAACTGCCCTAATGTTTGTTTCATGGTTATACGTTGTCATGGATGATTTAATTCATGACTAAATGCTCAAGTATGTTATTGAGGTTCAGTGGTATTAATGACATGCCATAGAGTCTAGTAGCTGTGAAAATTTAAGTAGTACTAATGTGTAGTAAAGACACATAGTACAAGTTAGGTGGGCAAGACTCGACCTCAGCACTACAGTGCAATTTATTAGGTGATCATGGCTCGACCTTAGCGTTATTACGCAATCTTTGACTCCTATACCGGGTTCCTCATAGATTAATAAATTGGTAAAATTAAATTAAAAATAAATTAAAATAAATTTAGTCTTCCAATCAAATGATAACATGTGTCATGACATGTGTGTAACCAATGACACATGTCACCTCTTGATTCGTAGGTAAATTTATTATAATTTATTAAATTATTTTCTTCCAACCAGAGGGTGACATGTGTCACCCTCTGATTGGTAAAATTAAATTAAAATAAATTTAGTCTTCCAATCAAATGATAACATGTGTCATGACATATGTGTAACCAATAACACGTGGTACCTGTAATGCTTAGGAACAAGGTTAGGAGTATGCTAAATTTTAACCTACGAGGCTATAAAACAGTTTATGCTCCTATAGTGTATTATTATGTATATAGTAGGATACAGAGAACACATAAAGATGGAATTCTCTTTACTTATATATTTCAGGCATACATTACTTTTAAGGCAGGCTCAGATATAGCGTGTAACACCCCCAACCCGTACTCGACCTGGCTACGAGTCCGCGATGTCACATTGACTTTCAAAACCTTACTTGAACAAAATAGTGAATAATTTTAAAAACTTTTTTAAATACAATGACTAATTTACATAAATCAGTATCATATGATTTTACAAAAACCAATTCGAGTATATCAATTCAAATTTTTATTTACAGCCAATATACTATATTTTCTTATCTGAACTTTGTAAAGGAGATACTAACCTGTCTTGCTCCCCAATGTTCTCTATATCTTCTCGAACCTACGTGTAAAACAATCACACACTAAGTCGATGACTTAGTGAGGCAAATAAAACATATATAGAAATCATAAAATATTCCATATAACAAACCACATGAACATTTAATACTACTTGTCATACAAAATCATATAACAATTTCATACAAAATCACACACCTTTTATATAACAAATACCACTCATGTACATATATCATCATCTACTTCTTAGATTATCATATATATTATTATAACTATTTCATATCATCATCCATTATTTATCACCTAATATTGTTCTTATCATTAGGTATATCATATCACACATATATCATTTCCCAAGAAACACCCATAAATCATAATTCCTGTAACCAAAAGCACATACATTATATATATGTATTCATGTTATCTCTTTGATTAGCCCATGGTACACTTGTGAGAACTAGATATGTGAGTCTATAGAGGTTGTGCACTAATGCTGTCACCACAGCTCGTATAATGCACCGAAGTGTCGCGTAGAAATGCCCGTAGTGCCACGTAGAATTACACCGAAGTGCCACGTAGAAATGCACCGTAGTTCCATATAATGTCCATAGGACCACATAGAAATTCCTTAAGAATCATATACATATACCAAGGACCAAATATGTGTCTCAAAGACCTCATAAATGTTCCAAAGAATATACATATGTCCCGAAGGAACGCGTATACCTCGACTCTTGGCATGCCAACTATACCCCTAGCTTCATGACACATACATGGGCATTATCATTTATTTCATTTCAAATATTCACATAAACATGTAATTCACTTTCACATATCACGTATCACATAGCTTTCACATAACTCATAGTCATATGTTATCTCATAACATTACATGTTTTCGCCTATATAATTCATATCATTTCTATACCATCACATAATCATTTAACATACATACATATCATGTAACATTATAATAGAAATACTATAAGTCATATCACTTAGATTTCATATACATCTAGTCACATAGATCACTTTTCATGCTTATATCCACATATATTATCTCATGTATACCCATGAATCAAATGGCATATACAAATCATAAAAATATATATATAGTTTATGCAATCACGTACTTATACTCACATGGATCCATATCATAGAGCTTAGTTCCCTTGTACATGTTATCACACCGTCATATAATCTTATATCAATCCTATAGGTAAAGCTATTTATCTTTATCTCATTTTCCTTTGTATCAGCTTACATGATTTATTATACTAACATGTACAATAACATATAACCCTTATCACTTATCTCACGTTATTTAATTATGAATTATTTTATCCATTTAATTTAGTTCCATATAGCTCCTATAACCTCTAAGTTTTATAGTTCTTCATTTTATAACTTCTATATCATAGTTTTCTTTTAAGCATATCACTTTTTCCTATAGAGTTTATCCTATAGGTTCGTATCATTGTTATGCTCATGTCCCCTAATTTATAATATATACCATTTTCATAAAGTCTCTTAATTATTATCTTCTAATTTATATATTATTCTCTTAAATATTCTCATATTACTCCATAGTCTGGTCTTATTTAACTTATCACCATCTCATGTAGTCATAAATATATTATACTGATTATCATAATTAATCACCTATAACCTGTAACATGTATGGTCATCCATTATATAACTTATTTCACTTCCCATGCAATCATATAGATCATTCATATTAGATCCTATAACTGATCACACTACATGTATTCACACAAATCATTTAACACATACTGTAATTTATATCATATATACTCAAATCAAACATATACATATGATCATAAATTCATACATTCTAATATAGGAATAGACTCGTCGCAAGTCTTATTTCCATTAAACATCATAAACTAACTTGTATGCACTCACCTGGGCCTCGTTTGATTCGAATCAATCCTAATCCTTAGTTTGTTCCGGAACAAGCTTTCATTCTATATCATAATAATACATTTATACTTATCAGTATACTAATTGATATATTCGAAACTATTACTCCTTAGGTAAGAGAAAAGCCAATTTCGTCTTTTAATGAAGGTATGCATCGATGCACTGCACAGTGTATCGATGCATTCCCTAACGATGCATCGAGCACTACTTGTGCATCGGTGCTATAAATACATTCGATGTTTGTATTTTGAGAGTGCATCGATGCACATTGAATATGCATCGATGCACACAACCCATAAAATCCATTTTAAGCACGAAATTATTCAACTCTTCATTCAATTCTTCTATTTTAAGCCCCTATCATGTCCTTAAACTCAACTACCATTACTTAAACCAACTTATATCCATATAAACCATATTTATCTTTCATATCTCATCATGATTAAAATTAAGAATCTTACTAAATTGTCAACTTTGTTATAAATCCTTTCTAACTTCATAAATCTCTTATTTTTATTATAACAAGTCAAATTCTTTCTCAAAATTCACTTATTAACTCTTTTCCAACATTTCCTTTTAAAACTCATTTTCTTTAATCTTTCATAACTTCTTCATCTTTGATTTTAGGACAACCTAAGCTTTCCATAAGCTTAAATATTACCTAAGGATCAAAACCCACTCTTAAAATTAACAAATAATCAGTTACAAGGAATCTTACATTTGCCTTGGAGCTTTCACGGGGAAGAAGAAGATGAAGAGAAAAAGAGAGAAGAGATTTCTGGAAAATCTCTCATCCTTATCCATATATATATATATATATCATTATTTTATTCATCTCTTGGTCAAATGACCCTTTTGCCTTTAATACCTTTTATAATTACTAGCATCTTCAAGGTAATATTTCAATAAATCACTGAACTTTTCAACTATTCCACTTTAATCCAAATTCTAAAATATTACAATTGGTCACTAACCGGTATTAAGGATGTTACAAATCTCCCCTCTTTTAAAGAAAATTCGTCATCTAATTTTCACTGCACATCTTGATAAGAACATGTGTTCTAATGTTTCATATTGTTTCCTTTACTTAATCTTTCCTGTCACCATCAGAAAACTTACTTTCATTCCTTTAGTTCTTCATCTACCTTTTCTCTTATACATCCATATCATATCACTTATCAAGTATAAAATACATTAGTTCTTATCACTTAAAATCATAAATCAATCAATTTACTCATCAATTTATAATTACCTTGCAATCATACTCCAACTTTCATTCTATCATCACTTTACTATCTCTTAACTTCTTTAATCATATAATCATTCTTTATTTCTCTGACTACTTCTACTTGACCAAGAAACTAACTTTAAATCTTCATCATGGATGATTAAAACATACATTTTGTAGAATCAAGCAATCTTTCACATCCTCTGACAAACCTTTCTTATTCTAATCACTTATAAGTTATACTTCAACATAACCTTTATCATATCTGATCCTTTAAACTCAATCATTTCATTTCCTTATTCGATTACTTTCCCTAATTTAAATCTTCTTATAGCATAGGTCATATCTTTTCTTCAGACTCTCATAATTTTAGCTTCCTTTGGATACACAAATCCGTATCTTCTTAACTATACCTCATTTACGTTATCAGAATATACTACCATATCTAAATCCACATTAGACTTGATTGACTTAACCTTACATCTTTTGCAAATCTTACAACTTTATCACTTTACTATTACAACTCGTCAATAGCAACTGTTCAATCTAGGGCACAAGCCCTAATCAATCAATCATATACATCATTTCTATTCGAAAATATCTCAACAATAATTACTTAACTTATAAATCCACCTTTATTTCTACACCATGTAATTTCCATTATTCACACTTAACATTCTAACTTCTTTGTCTTATAAACGGATTAATGATGTATCCATTCTTAAATTCTTCTTATCCATCATTAGCTTTACTCAAACATACAAATCCTCACTTCCTTCCCTATATCACTTTACTATGATCACAGTATACAACTGTATCCAGATTCACTTCATATTTGGTTATCATATCCTGACAATATCTTAAAATCTTATAACTCCAATATATTTCATCACACAATCTTGTTAGCCAACGCTAACTCTTTCCATCTTGAATACAAACCTTTATCATATCCACAATCTTACTTATACACAATACTACCCCTTTGATTCAAATCCATAACTCTGATTTCATTTCTTATAAACATATCTGATGCACTTATTCTTAAACTCTTTTACAATTCTAACCACATCATTGATCCTTTAACGTTCTTATGGTGACACTTGTTCACCATATTCTAGCTTCTCCACTTAGTACGAAACTACTCAATTTAACTTCTCCATTTGCAGAAATGAAAACCTTCTAATCATTATCTTCATATCATTTAACCCAAAGGTCTGTAACAACAGAATCTTCCTCAAATCCACCCTTGAACTCGAGTGCTCTTAACTCTTTCAACTAATTCGATACATTCATTCTATGAGTTAAAGAAGTGGAAAATTGAAAACACATCAAAATATCAACATCATGAAGACATTTTCTAATCTTGTACAGGCATTCCCTGAGGTTTTTCGCTATTCTCCTGCCTGGCCAGGACAGATGAATGTTATTACCTTCAGGCCTATCGCCTTGTGCTTCACTTTTGAAGCTCTCATATCAAACATCTAATATAATAACTATTGAACTATTAACAAGACAACACACTTCTTACCGTTCAGACCAGAAACTTTTCACTTCGTGTTGGCATGTACATTTTTTTAAAACACTGTTGACTTCGATTTAAGCCTAGAATCAGCTAATTGTAGCTCTGATACCATTAAATGTAACACCCCCAACCCGTATCTGACCCAGCTACGAGTCCGAGATGTCACATGACTTTTCAAAACTTTTACTTGAACAAAATAGTGAATAATTTAAAACTTTTAAATACAATTGACTAATTTACATAAATTAGTATCATATGATTTTAAAAAAACTAATTCGAGTATATCGAATTCAAATTTTTATTTACATGCCAAATACATATTTTCTGATCTGAACTTTGTAAAGGAGATACTGACATGTCTTGCTCCCCAATGCTCTCTATATTCTTCTCGAACCTACGTGTGAAACAATCACACGCTAAGTCGATGACTTAGTGAGGCAAATAAAACATATAATAGAAATCATAAAACATTCCATATAACAACCACATGAACATTTAATACTAACTTGTCATACAAAATCATATAACAATTTCATACAAAATCACACACTTTTTATATAACAAATACACTCATGTACATATATCATCATCTACTTTCTTAGCATTATCATATATATTAACTATTTCTATCATTATCATCCAATTATTTATCACATGATCTTGTTCTATCATTTATGTATATCATATCACACATATCATTTCACCAAGAAACACCCATAAATCATAATTCCTGTAACCAAAAGCACATATAATATATATATATTGTATTCATGTTTCTCTTTGATTAGCCCATGGTACACTTGTGAGAACTATAGATATGTGAGTCTATAGAGGTTGTGTACTAATGCTGTCACCACAGCTCGTATAAATGCACCAAAGTGCCGCGTAGAAATGCCCGTAGTGCCATATAATGTCCATAAGGACCACATAGAAATTCCTTAAGATCATATACATATACCAAGGACCAAGTATGTGTCTCAAAGACCTCATAAATGTTCTAAAGAATATACATATGTCCCGAAGGACCGCGTAGACCCCGACTCTTGGGCATGCCAACTATACCCCTAGCTCTCATGACACATAACATGGGCATTATCATTTATTTCATTTCAAATATTCACATAAACATGTAATTCACTTTCACATATCACGTATCACATAGCTTTTCACATAACTCATAGTCATATGTCTTATCTCATAACATATACATGTTTTCGCCTATATAATTCATATCATTTCTTATACCATCACATAATTCATTTAACATACATACATATGTAATATTATAAAAACCTATACGTCATATCACTTAGATTTCATACATCTAGTCTCATATATCACTTTTGCATAGCTTATATCCACATATATTATCTACATGTATACCCAGGAATCAAATGACATATACCAAATCATAAAAATATATATATAGTTTATGCAATCACGTTACTTATACTCACATGGATCCATATCATAGAGCTTAGTTCCCTTGTACATGTTATCACACCGGCATATAATCTTATATCAATCCTATAGGTAAAAGCTATTTATCTTTATCTCATTTTCCCTTTGTACCAGCTTACATGATTTATTATACTAACATGTACAATAACATATAACCCTGATCACTTATCTCACTTATTTAATTATGAATTATTCTATCCATTTAATTTAGTTCCATTAGCTCCTATAACCTTCTCATAAGGTTTTATATTTCTTCATTTTATAACTTCTATATCATAGTTTTCTTTTAAGCATATCACTTTTTCCTATAGTGTTTATCCTATAGGTTCGTATCATTGTTATGCTCATGTCCCCTAATTTATATATATACCATTTTCATAAAGTTTCTTAATTTATTATCTTCTGATTTATATATTATTCTCTTAAATATTCTCATATTACTCCATAGTCTGGTCTTATTTAACTCATCACCCATCTCATGTAGTCATAAATATATTATACTGATTCTCATAATTAATCACCTATACCCTGTAACATGTATGGTCATCCATCATATAACTTATTTCACTTCCCATGCAATATAGATCATTCATATTAGATCCTATAACTGATCACACTACATGTATTCACACAAATCATTTAACACCTATTGTAATTTAGATCATATATACTCAAATCAAACATATACATATGATCATAAATTCATACATTATAATATAGGAAATAGACTCGTCGCAAGTCTTATTTCCATTAAACATCATAAACTAACTTGTATGCACTCACCTGGGCCTCGTTTGATTCGAATCAATCCTAATCCTTAGTTTGTTCCGGAACAAGCTTTCATTCTATATCTACATAATAATACATTTATACTTACTTATCAGTATACTAATTGATATATTCGAAACTATCACTCCCTAGGCTAAGAGAAAAGCCAATTTTCATCTTTTAATGAAGGTATGCATCGATGCATTGCACAGTGTATCGATGCATTCCCTAACGATGCATCGATGCACTACTTGTGCATCGGTGCATAAAATACATTCGATGTTTGTATTTTGAGAGTGCATCGATGCATATTGACACAACCCAGAAATTCCATTTTAAGCACGAAATTATTCAACTCTTCATTCAAATCTTCTATTTTAAGCCCCTATCATGTCCTTAAACTCAACTACCATTACTTAAACCAACTTATATACATATAAACCATATTTATCTTCCATATCTCATCATGATTCTTAAAATTAAGAATCTTACTAAATTTTTAACTTTGTTATAAATCCTTTCTAACTTCATAAATCTCTTATTTTTATTGATAACAAGTCAAATTCCTTCTCAAAATTCACTTATTAACTCTTTTCCAACATTTCCTTTAAAAACTCATTTTCTTTAATCTTTCATAACTTCTTCATCTTTTGATTTTAGGACAACCTAAGCTTTCCATAAGCTTAAATATTACCTAAGGATCAAAACTCACTCTTAAAATTAACAAATAATCAGCTACAAGGAATCTTACCTTTGCCTTGGAGCTTTCACGGGAGGAAGAAGAAGATGAAGAAGAAAAATAGAGAAGAGATTTCTGGAAAAATCTCTCATCCTTATCTATATATATATATATCATTATTTTATTCATCTCTTGGTCAAATGACCCTTTTGCCCTTTAATACTTTTTATAATTACTAGCATCTTCAAGGTAATATTTTCAAATAAATCACTGAACTTTTCAACTATTCCACTTTAATCACCAAATTCTGAAATATTACAATTTGGTCACTAATCCGGTATTAAGGATGTTACATAGCGTTTTTGTGGGGGGGGGGCACTTCTTGTGAAACACCGAGTGGTACAAAATAACTGTGATAAAATCAAAGAAAGAAAGTTTGCAATTTTAACTAGATCTGTCAGGACTTCTGAATAAATTTTTTGAGAATCTCCTCAAAGCAATTACTACCATATGTTCCATCATCTTCTCTTCTCCAATATCGTCGCAGCAAGAGATCTCTCATTTTCATTCCCCCGCAATTATATCAAGTTAGTGAATATATATAAACATAAATCTCTATCTTGCAAATATTATGACAAAATCGGGAGTTTGGATCTGAAAAAGGTAACCAATCACTATATAGCTGCTTGTGAACAATATCAGTATGACCATCAAGATGTTCGACCACACTACCCTTGTAGAAACAGAAGTCCCATCTGCAAGACAATCTGTAAAGTTCCATTGATTTTGGAAAAGAAAAAGTCAAATACATTGCTAGGTAATAGAATTCTAAGTTTGCAAATCTTTAAAACACACTGGATAGCATCAAGAGGACAAATAATAAGTAAAATAGATGCATTAAAATGCACCAAGTACAGATACCAAATCTATACACGCTATAATCTTCAAAGAGCAAGTTTCTTCTTTATCTTTTTCAAGTTATTAAACTACTTCATAAGTATCTAGACAAATTGAAGTTCACATCATCAAAAGCAAATATTGCATTGTTTCTATTTCTATCATGCATCAAAACCTAAGTTGACATTGATCACCTTTACAAACTCAGTGAGGAAAAATCTCCAACTAAACGTGAAAAATTATCCAATGCGAAACGGTCTAATGAATCGAAATTCTAGATTTACAACGATTGAAATCAAGCCCATCTCTTGCAAAAGAATACATGAGCTTAATTTAAGGAAAATACAGAGTACTGGCCCGTTTACTCCGTTCTTGAGGGTCCAAGAGACGTAAGTGTCTGGAAAATGGCTTCTGAAGTCCCATCTACGACACCCACAGCCATGATTGCCGGATGGTCATCCCACTGCCAATGAGGAGAGAAATGTCAAATGCAATTGCATGAAAACCATCACTGTTAAGCAAAAGATACCAACCTTTCCTTGAGAATCTCTATCTTTAGCTTCTTTAAACAATCTAAGACCTACATCACATCATGGTTTTAGTAAAACAGTTATGGCTATCTCAAAAGTAAAAAATATTTGTTTTGTAATTACCATTCTGACAGCCAAAGATTGTCCAAGGTGATGGTGCTACAACATCAGCTGTCACTCTGTCCATCTTTGTGGACGAAGAAAGTGTCTAGTCAATAGAGTTGTTATAATTTGCATTACTGGAACCACTCGATCTGCATGCAAGGAGTCCTTCTAAGAAACTGATAAATAATAACATCAGATAATAATCAAACAAGAGTTAAGTCCTCTTACACTCATTACTAGTAATATTCTAAACAATCCAACTAAAGTTATTCAAGCAATTAGCACAGAACTCAAATCGTGCCCAAGCATAGGTGAACAGACAGCGAAAAGCCAGAAATAATATATATTAAATAGCAATGCTGGATGGTAGCTCATTGTTATACCTGAAGGACTGCCATCTGCTCGTTGAACAAGCAACATCAATTCCAGAGTATGTACTACCCTGCATTAATACAATAAAAATATCAATCTCATATTATGCCAAAAATTTATGATGTTCATGTGCATTAACAAGAGGAAGAATTTCATTTCAGACCTTTAAAGCTGCTTCTTGGAAGGATTGAATCCATCTTGCTGCTTCTTCAGGACTACTAGCTCCTAGCTGTAATATTGATTCCATATCTCATACATGAGGTGACTGTATCATACATGTCAATTAAGAACCGTTTTGTGAAATATGTGCCTCACCTTAAGTTGATCATTGTGATTAGAACTATTATAAAGGGTGAAAATGAAGAATACCTACAAGTCAAACAATTATCTGTCCTTATAAAATCTCCAATGCCATGAACCAATCACAAAACGTAAACCAAAAAATTAACATAGTCCAAGAAAAAGAACACATAATTCACATACATTTCTGTGAATGCTCTCCCTCCCGTTGTCTGTAACTCGAATGCAGGAATCAATAATAGCACTTCTACCAGGCTCCTGAAAGGCAAATCAAGGTTCAATCCTTGAGCTTACTAAAATTGCCAAGCATTAGAAGAACAGTCTACATCTAAGAAATATAAACAAAAGAAAATTAACTAAAAATTGAATGTGCACATAAAGGCCATCTTAGAATCCTCATTTATTCATTCATTAAAATGACAAATATACGCAAAATTTCACAAGATAAAATTAATTACAACGGTAATAAACAGAGCACTAAGCTTGGTCATTGGGTATTCTTCCAACACACTTCCCTCTAAAGTGAAGTGTGCCGCATCACACTGTATAATTATGCTATAAGTTAGCTAACAACTTGCCCAGCTTATGATTATCATCGAATCAACTTAACTTTCACTGAAATCTAAAAATTAAACAGTTCAAAGACTGTGACATATGAATGCGAAAGTACAATATTACTGACATAAAGTCCCCCCCCCCCAACACACACTCACACACACACAACCCCCTCCAAAAAAAAAAAACTCTGAAAGGCTGGTCGAAGGAAAGAACCAATTCAAAAGAAGTAAAAGAGCAAAAGATGTCAGGTACATAAAAAAGCATATATGTATTCAATGAAGCTCACTCTCCAACCTACCTATCAAAGCCCTCAAATCGGCATGATAAATTAAAGCATGTTCAAGTAATCCATTACTAAGCAGCTAAAATCATTATTAAATGTACATATAAATACTATAAGAAAATCAATAATAGACGATCATTTTAAAAGGTTTATCCACTAAAAACTAGTTATTCATTTATTAGTGCAGTTGTCGATTAATAAAAAGTCAATTCGAAAAATTTGATATTCGAGTTTAATCCCATTAATTCTTTACAACTTCTTTAAATGAGTAACGAAATTTGCAGCTTTCAGAATGCTTGAGAGGGTAAATTTGCAGCTTTGTCTTGAATGGGGATTTATTGATATCCTCCTGCTTGGGTTGATGGGTAGTTTTTTTGGCTGTATAGGAATGCTTTGTATCGACTTATAGTTTGTACAGCTTTGCTGTTTTCTTTTGGATATGGAATGAATATGACTTATCCAAAAAGAAAAGAAAAAAAATAGAGCTTTCAGAATATAATATTAATTAATACAGTATTACAGAAATGTTATATCATTTTGTTTTATTTATTTTTAAAAATATAAAAACATGTTTAGTTGTAATATAATTTAAATAAATTTAATTTATAAATTGAAATTATTCAATTAATTAATGAAATTATTGACATCTTAAAACTTTTGGTTAAAAATCAACAAAAACGTTCAATTACAAAAATTAAAACTTAATGACTAATTCTTAAATATAATGTCACGTCAACATATATTGATCTATACTTTTAATTTAAAGGGACGCAAAATATGATGGTCAATAAAAAAATTGACTTTGAGGAAGATATGCTAAAGGGTCATGCAGCAATGTATAGCACTATAGCCAAAGGATATGTGAACAAATTGACTTTGGTATCCTTAAACACATTTTTCAGTATCGGGCTAAAATGATATATATATATATATATTAACGTAAGATTTTATGTTAAAGGAGACGAACTTATAAAATTTTAGGAGGATCACGCTAATAAAATTTTAGAGGAGAAAACATATTATCAATGAAAAGTATAAAGAAAATATCTAAAATATATAAGAATTAAAAATTTTTAATCACCATTTTTAGCCTGCAGCAGCCCCTCCACGTTACAAATTCCAGTAACTTCCAACAATGACAGTAGCCCCTCCACGTTTCAGAAGCTTCCGGCAGCTCCACCTGTGGCCTCCCAAGCACCGTCCACGTCGCAGCTATAGGGTGAGTCACCACCATAGTTCGGTGACTCACCAAACTTTTCCCCTTTACCCGGTCCAAAGGCAGATTCATGGTGGCCTATAAAGGCCACCGAATCTGCAAAGAAAGGAAAAGAGAGAGCAAAAACCAAAGACAGAGACAAGAATAGAGAGGAACAACCACTGACGGACAGCAACCATAGAGCAAACAACGAAGTAAAAACGAGCAACATCGACAGCAACCAACACAAGCAACGAAAAACAAAGAGAAAAAGAGAATGAACTCACCACCGAGGATAGCCGAACGTCGTTAGAGCCGTTGCAAAATCGAAGGTAATACCTATGGTTTCTTTTAGATTTAGGGAAATCTAGAGGGTTTTAGGATGAAAGTAGGCCATATTCGGCCTTAGAATTAAAAGAGGAACATTCGGAGCTATTTACCCGAATTCCTGCCACCGTAAACGGTGGCCGACGGTAGTGCCAGCGTCGGAACGAGGCGGCCGACCGATGATTATCTTCCTTCGGGCGGAGCCTTTAAGAGAGAGTAGAGAGAATTTTTCATCTCTCTCACTTAGAGAGAGAATGAAAAAAAGAAGGAAATGAAAAAATGGCCTTATGGCCGGTTAGCTTAGGGGATATATACCCTCACCAAAACAACGTAGTTTTGGTGAGGGCCTTTGTGTAAATACGAGTATGGGTTAATTATACCCGTAGCCACTATAACTTTAAAACTTTGTAATTTAATCCTTAAAAGCATATTTATTTATTATAATTTGGTATTCGAATTTTACTTATTTATAATTTAATCATTGACCTGTATATATTTATTTTAGGTTAAATATCATTATTAATCCTGTAATTTTAATAATTTACATTTTAAACCCCAAATAATTAATAAGGGTTAATTACACTATTAGTAGTTACTTTTTTTATAATTCTAATTATGTCCATTAATTGTTCACATTTTATAATTTGATAATCTTTATAATTTTCATTTTAATCATAAGTTTTATTATTTTTACATTTTAAGCTTATATATTTATGAATATGATGCTATAATTTTAATTTTTTATTTTTATCATTATTTTATTGCAATTTTATTCTATTTTTCTTTTTGATATGTTTCAATTATTATTTCAATTATTATGTTATTATTATGTAGTCATATAAACATATATAATAAATAATATTTATTTACATATTTTTTTATATATTAATCCTATTTATAAATTTAATTTTATATAAATTACTTTTAATAAAAATAATAATATTTTAATATTTATTTATTTTTTAATATTAAGAAATGGGATGTCTTAAAGCACCTAGAAGTCATTTTCTGATATTCTTAAATAAATAAATATCTTATTTTTATAAATTATATATATTAATTTATTTTAATTATTTTTAGAGAAATGTTTATTAATATTTATTTATTTTAATATTAAGAAATGGACTGTCTTAAAGCACCTAGAAGTCCTTTTCTATTTCTAAGTAAATAAATATCTTATTTATAATTAAAAATAATAAAAATAATATATTTTTTCTTAAAATTAGACTAATAAATTTGAAATAACAAGATTGTGAATTAATATATTTTTGAATTTTTAAATTTCCAATAATAGAGAATTTAATAATAATAAGTACCAATTTTGAGCATTGTGGGGGTGCTAATCCTTCCCCAAATGTAATCGACCTCAAATACATTTTTATTATTAAAAAAAATGAATTTTTGGTTAAAACAAACTCTTTAAAAGATATTTTAAGTATTCGACCTACCGACCCAAAAGGCCGATGGCGACTCCCAAAACATTTTAAAAACCATTTATTCACATCACTTTCCGCCAAGTTAAAAATTCGTGCCCGGGCGAAAAAAAATCGGTTATGCTTGCGACTCTGCTGGAGACCTGGTCAACTTTAAAATCAATTATAAATGTCTCTCAATTAGAAAGTAAAAATCATATATTTAATTTTTAATTTTTTCTTTCAAATATTTATATATATACTTATTACATATTATTTTTATATATCCTTCTTTATTATTTTTTTTTTATTTTCAGAATAAATTTCATTGTTTATTTGTTTGTCAAAGGTTTGAATATTTCACCTCACACACAAAACACTTGCATTGCATAACATAAGCTTTATAATCAAGCTTGTCCCTTTTAAGTGGGAGTGAAAGCGACGTCTTCATGAGAATTTATTCTCTGTGTCAGACCTAGCAGTAGCTTTCGGGGTTTTTTTATTTTCAGGAATTGTTTATTTGTTTGTCAAAGGTTTGAATATTTCACCTCACACACAAAACACTTGCATTGCATAACATAAGCTTTATAATCAAGCTTGTCCCTTTTAAGTGGGAGTGAAAGCGACGTCTTCATGAGAATTTATTCTCTGTCAGACCTAGCAGTAGCTTTCGGGGTTTATATGCTCTATGTCTTCGTGAGAATTTATTCTCCGTGTCAGGCATAGAGAAATGTGTCCCCTCTAATTGAACTCGATCCGCTTGAGTCTGTAATGGACTAGGATTGAGGGTTTGGCAGCCTAAGGGGCACCAACAAGGACGGTTCGAGTACTTTTACTCTTAGAATCGAAACCCTGCATATAATAAACCCTAGAAATTCTCCTGATCTAAGACAGTACTGAACCTCTGTCCGTAGGTTTACACAAAGGAGAAATAAGTTCTAACTTTTTGTCTTTTTAATTTATTTGATTTTTTTCTTTTTCTGAATAAATGCCTGCGAATTAGAAATCATGCAGTTAGGTTAATTTTTCCAAACAAAGCATGGAACTAGAAAGCATGAGGTTAGGATTTATACCTTGATAGATAGGATCTTTTATTTCCATTAATTGGTACTAACCAATTTATTTTTTCCTTTCTTATTTTTATTTTTCATACATTTGCTCTAACTTGTTTATATTAATTTCTTTTGTATGCTTGCATGATCATGGCATAATAAGAAGGCGTTGATTTGAAAGACTGTTCATCAAATTGGAAAGAAATCATAAATGGACAAAAGTTTTATGATCAACAAAATATGACGTAACCATGGAATGACATCCTAAGGGAACTCCTGCACAAAAAGAGAGCATATGTCCAAGATGATGGGTAGAATATCTGTTTTGGCCAAAGGAAAAGAGACTCCTGCACAAAAAGAGAGAGAGATCAATGAACATAACCCTGCAATCTCATATATACAAGGAACTTCTGATCCTAATCAATTTGAGAAATTACAGACAGTC